ACCAGCTCTCCATCAAGAGTGCTTCCCTGCCTATTGCCAGAGATTCTTGAATAGGCTGCAGCATTCCCAAGACCCTATTTATGATAAGCAGTTTGGAGATCAGTTGAATAGACGAAAGGTTTTGCTATCTACAATTTGGAACATTCAGCGATGCCTAAAACTACTGTCTGGGTGGGCAGCTCACTAGGTTTTGGAACAGAGCCATGGTTGAGGGATGAGCATTGGACACACTACTGTATAGTATGACACCCTACAGCATCCAAGAGATGTGCTAGAGAGAAAACCCACAAGCCTTTCACTTGACATCTCAGTTTACATTTCAAAAACACACGCTCATGATGAAGATGGAAGCAGAGGAAGTTGGCTCTTCTGTGAGACACTTATGCAACACCATGACTAATCTGAGGCTCCATCATTGAGGGGAAAGCCTCAAAATAAACAGAACACCAAATTACAGAGATAGGACTACAAACCTCTCAGAAAACATCGCTAACACGATTACGGCAAATAATTCTTCCATAAACCATCTGTGAAATGAAAAGGTAACAGACTGAAGCTACAGTGTCTGGCGTTAACAGGATGGTAAAGTGCATTAAATCATCATTTGCCTGCAAGGTCTGAGGCCTTCCTGTATTTCTTAGGAATATCAGCTTAGTTTAACTAGGTGAATGAGATAATGACGAGACAGAACATTAAACAAGCTCTTTCTGCTTTGCTACATTATGGAAAATAAAGAGGTAATTGACATAAAAAGGTCAGACTCTAAAAGAGATACTATTCCATTGTTTTTCTATGTAAACGTGCTAAATGGATGCTTTTGATGCACATGACACAGCATTTTAAAAACGTAAAAAAAATAAATAATAATAAAATATAATCTCAAACCTTGCATTATATTTCTCCATTCCACTGCTTGCATTCTGCATTTTTCAACACAAAAATGCATCCTGTTTGAATGGTCCCTAAAGCTGTCCCTAAAGAGTGATGCCATTCCACATTGTGCATATGGACTGAATTCAAGCCACACAAAGTCAAACATTTTGGTGAAAAATGCAATCACAAGTCATTATGTGAAATAATTATTCAGGACAAATATAATTTAATGGAAAACTATGCCAGTAGCATTCTTTATGAACAGCCTCCATAGGTGTAGCTGGATGCCGTGGACAGACGCTAAGTGGCACCATCGGTGTGTGTACACTTTTAAAGATGTAGCACGGTGCTACGCCTCTCGTCTTGTGTGTGACCTCCTTAACACAACATTCTAACTGCCATGGAAATGATTTAAAACACTTGGCAACAACGACATGCACCACAGAAATAGCACTGTGGTGAGACAGTGGTGGGAGAGAACTGAACTGAGCTAGATGATAACATCACTGAATCAACAATGACTGACTGTTTTCTATTGTCCTCTTGCATTATCAGCACACATTTTTCCTGTTTAACATTGTAAAGCTGATTTGACACAATCTGTATTGCATAAAGAGCTATATAAATAAAGGTGACAAACTGTTTTATTTGTACTTTCCAGTGCTGAATAAAATATATTCACAATCTATATTTCTCTTAACTCCATTGGCCCTCATGTTTTTTCCACGTTTTGTGGTATAGAATGTTGGGTAATAAGTTTGACCAGTGTTGGTTCAGCAAAGGGGCCACTTTCAACTTCACTTTCACTTTCCCACTGTCGGGCCAGTGTGAGCCAGTGCTTTCAACGGGCCAGGTGGGGCTAATAGCCTCAGACCTCTAGCACCAATGTTGTCAAGTCTGCGGTTTTCACGTGGAATTGGGCTACTTTAACACTATTGCTGCAGGTTGTTTTTCAGGTCCGTGGGTTGAAGCGACCCCAATAACGTGATATTTAGCCACTGGAATGCAAATTTTAACAGGGGAACCTCGCCAAAAAAAAAAAAAAAAACTAACCCTCTAAACTAGTTTTGGGTTAGTTTTTAGTAGCAATCGGGCGGGTTTTGTTGTGCAAACCTGGCAACCCTGTGTAGCACTGAGCCCATAGTCACACTGCGTTTCCACAATAATAAGTGATACATTGATCATAATGAATTCATTTGTCAGGATTGTCAGGATAATTTCTATACTTTTTCCATCAAAAATATAACCTGAATAGCTTTAGCACTCTCTCCAGTAGGTCTGGGCGATAAAACGGTATCGATATTTATCAATGGTACACCTTCTTCGATAACGATATCAAAAAAAAATTCTATATAGTGCACGATATAGGCACGTGAGTGATGCAGACAGCACACACAAACACGAACATGAGTGCTGTGCCTGCCTGTGATGAGGAGATTGTGAATAAAAACATTTATATTAGTCGAATTTAAAATAAACATTTGCATTTGAATGCAAAAATAGCACAATCGAATGTTAGGTGTGCGTCAGGGAGCGTCATCAGTGGAGCACGAGATGCGGTGATGATGATGTAAGTGACGTTGTAGTTTAATGTTTTGTTAGTCTAGCCCTTGAGACACACAGTTGCTGCGTTATTCATTCAACATATTAGAAAAATATAGTAGCTCAATGCGTAGTAAACTAGTTTTGGGTTAGTTTTTAGTAGCAATCGGGCGGGTTTTGTTGTGCAAACCTGGCAACCCTGTGTAGCACTGAGCCCATAGTCACACTGCGTTTCCACAATAATAAGTGATACATTGATCATAATGAATTCATTTGTCAGGATTGTCAGGATAATTTCTATACTTTTTCCATCAAAAATATAACCTGAATAGCTTTAGCACTCTCTCCAGTAGGTCTGGGCGATAAAACGGTATCGATATTTATCAATGGTACACCTTCTTCGATAACGATATCAAAAAAAAATTCTATATAGTGCACGATATAGGCACGTGAGTGATGCAGACAGCACACACAAACACGAACATGAGTGCTGTGCCTGCCTGTGATGAGGAGATTGTGAATAAAAACATTTATATTAGTCGAATTTAAAATAAACATTTGCATTTGAATGCAAAAATAGCACAATCGAATGTTAGGTGTGCGTCAGGGAGCGTCATCAGTGGAGCACGAGATGCGGTTGATGATGATGTAAGTGACGTTGTAGTTTAATGTTTTGTTAGTCTAGCCCTTGAGACACACAGTTGCTGCGTTATTCATTCAACATATTAGAAAAATATAGTAGCTCAATGCGTAGAAGATCTTGATTAGGTTAAAACCGAAACCAAGCCATTCACACAGAATGCATATTCAGCGCATTTTTTTGACGGACAAATATGACTGCTGTACTCGCGTCACACAGGAGATGTATAGAAAGCCATGCAAAGTTAAAACAGTTTAAACTTTTAGAAAACACGTAACGAATTTGTGAAGGTTTATTCCTTTTCACTGCGTCTCATATGTTTTTAAAGGCAATCTGTATGATGGGCGATTCGGCTCTTTGTATTAAGCTATGCATAAATATGTGATGCTGTTTTGTTCATAATTGTTTATGCAATTTACGAAATTATATTTATGAGTTAATTTAGACATAATGCACGTTTTTTTATAGACAGTTATTTCCTTGCTTTGACATTTTTTGTGCTGCATTATTTTGCTCATTGCGCCCTCCTGTGGCCTCGGGAAACAAGCCAAAAGTTTAACCTATTTAATCTGCATATAAAACATTAGAAATTAGATATTTGTTTAATTTTTATTTTGTGTTTGACTGTTAAAACAAAAAAATATCTGTTGTTTGTCTTAATAAATTTAGTTAATTTAAAAATACAGTGGTTAAATTTAAAAAAAAAATTCTATTGCTCTTTGTTTTAAAAAAGGTTATAAAAATTTTCAATAATTATCGATACCGAACGATATGAAACAATGTATCATTGATAAATTTTTTAGGTATATCGCGCAGCCCTACTCTCCAGTCACAAAACATTGTTATATTTTCAGTCAGAGAAACAGAGGGAAGCAAAAAAATTTGATATATTATGATATATTTTATGGCATACGTAGAGATAAATATGAACATCAGAGAGTCAGGTATAAAGAGACAAGACTTATTGACAGATAAAATATGTAAAAAAATAAATACATGATTGTGATAGACTATATGATTTTTCTGATTTCTTCAAGCGATCATATTTACCAAGTTTACTATGGTAATGGCCATTATGGTAAAGCGTGCATATCTTTTGCATCGCATATAAATATTTCTGCCTAGTATGGTGATCATAAACAGATCTCAAACATGTTATTTCAAACTCTCACTGCTGTCTCAAAGTGAGTTTTGAACTAAAATTATTTCTGAAAGTCTTTAATGCTGATGTTAGCTGGTAACTATATGAAATGATCCGCTGATGCTCTCCAGACTCGGAGAAACTCTGTCTTTGTTCATAACCACTCCTCAAGCCCGAGCTCGGCTTCGGCTGGCCAAAAAACCCTGGCTGTTGGCCCCGAGGAAGCCCCGACGAGGCACGATCAAGCCCCGGAAGTGACAGTGGAAACGCAACTAGCCCTGGCATGCAGTAGCACGCCCGCTTTTGGCCCGGCAGTAGAAACGCGGCTATTGAGGGCCTAAAACAGGGGTCTCCAAACTTGGTCCTGGAGGGCCGGTGTCCTGCAGAGTTTAGCTCCAACCCTAATTAAACACACCTGAACAAGCTAATTAAGGTCTTACTAGACATGCTAGAAACTTCCAGGCAGGTGTGTTGAGGCAAGTTGGAGCTAAACTCTGCAGAACACCGGCCCTTTGGAGGCCCCCACCGAGTTTGGAGACCCCTGGCCTAACATATAATATAATATAATAAATATAATATAACCCTAAGTCCAAATCTAAGTCAACATTACCTTAGAAGGCAGCATAATGTTGTTATATTGTTGAACACAAACCTACGATGCCTTAAAATGTTATCTATGAAGGTAGCTACTTTAACACATTTATTACATAATTAAAAGTTCTTAAATTAGTCCTTTATACTTACTGTATACAACAGAAACAAACAAAGTTGTCAAATGACATGAGAGTGTTTGTAATTACTTACAGGGTCTCTCTGCTCGTCACTGTCTCGTATTGAAGGTCGAGGTCTCAGCAGTATGTCATCACTACATTCAGTGTCCGATCCCGTGGGGGACTCGGGTAGATCCAGGAAGTCATCTCGCTTTGGACCACGGAATCTTATTTTGTCCAGTCGCTTTAGCATGTTCAACACAGCTGCTTTAGGCTTTACCTTAACATTATGTATGGCAGCCCTGCAGGGTCAACAGAGTACAAAAAATATTAAGGAAAATCTAAATCAAGTAAACACTTGAAAACAGAAAACTTTAAAAATAAGAACAAATAGTCACATTTTAAAAAAGGACACAGGTCTTACACTGCAAACCTGCTGGAGAAATCTCACTTACACATAATGAAGATGCAAAGTGGCTTTATTACAGTAAGCCAATAGTACTGACAGACTGATACAGTATATCATCCTGTCAATTTAATTAGCCAATTTTTGGCTCATTTGAGATTACTGGCATTGGCTGATGCTCATGTCAACTTGGTCGGCTGACAAAAGTGTTAGTAATATTGTCTAAGTGTCTCAGCAATGTTGTTTTCATTAAATCATATTAAATATCAATAATTTATAGTAATAATTAAAAATTATGTACTATGAAAAATAAGCTTGCTACATTTTTCTTAAGATGTAGACTATAATATTAATCAATTAATAAATTAATAAAACTAAATGTATATAAAATATTCAAAAAGAACTCCAATTAATGATTTTAAGAAAAAGTAAACATTATGTCATACAAACATTTACAGATGCCAATTTAAAGCAAATGAAAATAATAAAAAGGTAAAGATAAAACTAACAGATTTAAAAACCTTACACAAACATAACAATAATTGTTCATCAGCAATGTTTTATTTACTTAATACTAATAAGCTGATTTACATAATTAACAATCTGGAGCTGTTACAATGAATATATGCACACTAATGGATGATAGAAAGCCACTAAATAGATTTTGGTTTTATTAAATAGCATTACTCTTGATTAAATGTGAACCCCCACCCCTCTCTCTAAAATATGTTATTATATCACGGTTTACCCAGAAGTCACCTCTCTGACACGCTCATATCCTCAGGATTTTCACAAAACCATGTGAATGAATATTCTCAGTAGTCTCTAGGGCTGACCTTTTAAAGTGGAAGGGAATTCATTTGCTCATCTGTTCTGAAGGCCAAAGCCAAAAGAACATCTCAAATTGCAACAGGTTGTAAATGGATTTCAGGTGCTTTTCCTGCCCCGAGCAAGACTCACTGACCAAAGTATAGAGGAGATCCCTGGAGTGCCATTTGTGGATTTCCCACAGATTTTGTGCATGTCACTATTTTGAAAGTGCTTCAATAACTGACATAATGCAATAGTTTCAACTATTGCACAATTTGTATAGTATAAAAGTTTTTGTGTCATGCTTAAGATTTTACAAAAAAAGCTAATGTGCAATCAAATGTTTACAGGCCCAACGTTTCCACATGAATTGCTTGTTATTTTAATTTGTAAGTCACTTTGCTAACACAACTGCTAAATGAATAAACTGTGAATGGCACAATCTTCTGTAGAGCTGTTTTGCAGCTGAATCCTATCTTGTAACATTGACATGGATATTAAACTGAAGTTTAATATCAGCAGTGAACAAATTTGAACTGAATAACAACATTGCTGCATTTGTAGAGTTGCTTATTATAGCTGAGTTGAACTTGTCTCAAATTGTTGAACTTTACATTGTTATTGAACTGAACTGATTTGAACTAAATAATGACACTATTTTCTTTTTGAACTGTCTCCGTAGCTGAGTTTCCATAATTAATTCTGTCATTTTCCTATTTATCTCTGTAAAGCTGCATTGACATAGTCTGTGTATATAAAGTGCTATAGAAATAAACGTGACTTGACTAAATGTAAATAGAAATGAATTAATATTTTCCATGGAAGCATGAAAGTCAAAAAGGTCTGAAACATGAACATGAGGGTCACTATTTTATTTATTTATTTATTCTTTGCTCTACCGCATATAGTTTAGTAAGTTAAAATGCCAAAATAAACAGGTAAGATCAAAAAGGTATTATGTACAGAAAATAATGGCATAGATTGTAGATGCAGACAACAAACAACAGGGTCATGAGCTTTAATTGTAGCCATCTCTCACTAAAATTACATTATAAAACAGGGTTTGCCTTGAGAGCTCTCAGTGCTTATTATGAAATTATATTTGGATATTATTGTGATTCTGCATGCTGTGAAAGCTGCAAAAGTCTCTAGTCAAGTGCACAAGGCGGAACTAAATGTGTCCACCCACATAACCCACTGATATCTATACTGCCCACATCTCCACACAGATATCCACCACCAAGGCCCTCTGATTCACTTCTAACTGAACACCAGAGAGAGCACTGGAGGAACGGCATGACTTATAACCGCAAACAATGACAAGGACATTCATATCGGTGAGAGAGAAATTAAATTCAGTTCATTCAAGATCAAATCTATGCTACATAACAAACAAAAGCACAAAATGTACTTCTTTATTTGTGCATGAGTCATACTCTGAGTTCAAATCTACAGGTGATGCCTACATAACCTCTCTCAGTGCAGGAATACTGGCTTCATACTACAGGTGCAGCTCAATAAATTAGAATGTCGTGGAAAAGTTAATTTATTTCAGTAATTCAACTCAAATTGTGAAATTCGTGTATTAAATAAATTCAGTGCACACAGACTGAAGTAGTTTAAGTCTTTGGTTCTTTTAATTGTGATGATTTTGGCTCACATTTAACAAAAACCCACGAATTCACTATCTCAACAAATTAGAATATGGTGACATGCCAATCAGCTAATCAACTCAAAACACCTGCAAAGGTTTCCTGAGCCTTCAAAATGGTCTCTCAGTTTGGTTCACTAGGCTACACAATCATGGGGAAGACTGCTGATCTGACAGTTGTCCAGAAGACAATCATTGACACCCTTCACAAGGAGGGTAAGCCACAAACATTCATTGCCAAATAAGCTGGCTGTTCACAGAGTGCTGTATCCAAGCATGTTAACAGAAAGTTGAGTGGAAGGAAAAAGTGTGGAAGAAAAAGATACACAACCAACCGAGAAAGCCGCAGCCTTATGAGGATTGTCAAGCAAAATAGATTCAAGAATTTGAGTGAACTTCACAA